AAACTTGACCCGCTGATTATTTAAACAAGGAGAGATACCAACTGATAGAATTCACTGTATTACTTTATTTACTATTAAAACTCTTTCAAACATAACATTAGGATTTATGTGCCAATTTCAATCCAGCATACTCACCTAAGAGGAAAAAAAAAATGAACACTTTAAGAACTAGTGCTTTATTTAAACACATAATACTTATCTTGTTCATTATTCCTGCAGCTACTACTAGAGCTGTATTAATGATGTGACATGTTGAGTTCTGGGGTCATTTGAGGCCAAACCAGAAGAAATGTTGGAGTATTACTCATTATGTTACAACACACTCGCTTTTCCCCAGGCATTTCTAGAAGTCCCTCTGTTATCAAATTTGGAAATTCTCCAGTAACTCTAAGGGGTCTCTGGACAATTTACTGTCTAATATGTTAAAAATCCACCAGAAAATGCAAAAAGTAGAAAAGCTCTCCAAATCATAACTATTTTGTGTCAGCCTTCTCAAAGAGTTCCTCAAACTGAAAAGATCATTGTGGGTTGAGCTTAATGGTCTTATTTGAAGAGTCACTAATTATGTGTCACTTCTGTGTCATGTAAGTGCCCTAAGTGCTTTCAGGGACTGCTTAAGGAATTATAAAAATATGATTCTCATAAATTGTGAGTTAACTAGATACTACAGGTTTCTTAATAATCTCCAGCGAAAAATGTCAAGTTTGGGTTATTCGTGAATGTGAGAAAATTTCAAATTGAGAGCACATATCTCATTGTTGCAAACATATGCTCACTTATCTATCTTCTCTATTAGACTGTAGGCATCTTGAAGGGAGGGCCTGGTTGGTTCATTCCTTCAGTCATCAGGTATTTATAAAATGCCTACTGTGTGTCAGACTTCCTGCTAGTATACAGCAATAAGCCCGCAAAGAGCTGAGTGTTTTGTTCCAGATGTTACTCTAGTCATGTCATCGGTGAGACGAAGGGCTGGCACAGGAGCTCTGAGAATGTTCTAAGGGCAGGAGGAGGGAGGAAAGGCGGGGAGGTAGGGAAGGTTTTCCTGAGAGAAGGCTATTTGGGTTGATGGGTCTGAGGGACTGGGTGGGTGAATGCTATGTACGGGCATGTATTCCAGTCAGCAGTGACAGCCCATGAGAGACCCTGGGCAGAAAGGGACTGGGCACAGTCAGAGAACAGAGAGAGGCCACAGAGGCCGAAGCACAGTGAGCACAGATGCTGAGAAATGAGGTGAGTGGTCCGCAGGGGCTCCGCTGGCTCACTGCCTAGAAATTAGTAATCAGAAGTTTCACTTAGCAAACGTGAGGGGAAATGGTGGGATTAAAGGCACTAGTTCCTTAGTCAAACACGGGTCCTTGAAAATGGCAAATGGCATTCTTATCGCTTGTCAACCAGCCTGGGCCCTGACCACGTCCTAACTGATTTTCCAAAATACAAGACTGCAAAAGCTTACAACCACCAGCAAGCATTTCAGAATTCAAACGGGAAGCCTATAGAGCAGCGGTTCTCAACCTGTGGGTCACGACCCCTTTGGGGGTCGAATGACCCTTTCACAGGGGTCGCCTAAGACCATCGGAAAACAAAAAGATATTTACATGACGATTCATAACAGTAGCAAAATGACAGTTATAGAGGAGCAACGAAAATCATTTTATGGTTGGGGGTCACCACAACATGAGGAACTGTATTAAGGGGTTGCGGCACTAGGAAGGTTGAGAACTGCTGCTATAGAGAAACAAAATACTATTTTCTTTATTACTTTTTCCCATGAAGTATTTTAATCAATACACCAGAACTACTCTTCTGTGGGGAACATGGCTTCCCTGCCCCTTTCTAAAACCTTACCTTTTTTTCTAATATAAAATGAAATGGTTTCAATGCCTCAGAAATCACACACAGGGCATAAAAACACTCTTAATCTCTTTAATTTTCACATAGTATGCATCATTGTATAGGAAATATTTAGATAAAAGATATTCACAAACGTGTTAAGCCCAAGTTTGGGGATTCCTCACTTTATAGATCAGAAAAATCTTTCAACCACAGATGAGGTTTGGAGCTATAACTACAATCTGGCGTCCAACTTGGAATAAATATCCCCTTCCTTACTCATCAAACCAGCTCACCACAACTACCCCACCAGGACAAGTGTTTTGTCCCTTGGTTTACTGTCACGCTCCTCTTTGTCTCCCTCGCACCTTTCTGACTCATTTCAGGTTAATGTGTGTCTTTCTATAATGCACCTGTGTTCACAGACACAGAGCCCAAGGAATCCTGTGCTAACCTCAACTTTCAATTCTGTCTAAGACCTCAGGTGTGACGTTGTAAGGTTACAGTTTACATAGCACCTTAACATGTCATCCAACATTAGATTTGATATGTGCAATAGAGCTCTAAGATAAGTAGTTATTTTAACCTACCATATTTGCCGGCGTATAAGACGATTTTTTGGCCCTGAAAAATATGCCTCCAAGTGGGGGGTCGTCTTATACGCCAGGTACACTTCAGATAGACTGCCCATAGTTCTTGCCCCGTGCCATAGTGGCCTCCTGATGCCCGCCCACTTCATTCCACATACCGTTCAGGCATCAGCAGTGCTGCTGGGTGTATGCTCGGCTGTTATGCGATTTTGCTGTTATGCGATTTTACCACACTCGCAAAATCGCACACAGCCGACCATATAACAAACTCTGTATTTTGAGTGGAAATGTTAGGGGGTCGTCTTATACGCCGGCAAATACGGTAGTTCAAAAATGAAAACAAAACAAGACAAAGGTTCAGAGAAGTCAGTCCCTTGTCCAAATCATTCAGCTGTTTTAATTATTATACAAATATAGGACTTACACCTGGGCTTCTTTAGTCAAAGCCCTCTATTCTCTGTCTGAATTAAAACATTAGTGTCAGAAGCCAGGTTATAACTGTATTGTCTAAAGTTTACATGTCTTAGACTTAAAGATTCTAATAATTGGACAAGTCTGCATTAGAGTATCTTTGGTGAATAAAGGCTTCTTGAAGTTTTGTTATTTTACAGGGAAGTGCCACGGCAAATGTAAAACAATAACAGACACTAGAATAATATATAGAATTCAAAACATATGATGCTGAGGAAGAGACACAAAGTAGCTCTCCAATAAGTCCCTGCTAAAAACTGTGGTTTTTAAAAAGTATTTAAATGCTAAGAAATTTAAAATGCAACGCCTAAATGGAATATCAGAATCCCACAGAGATGAAACAAATGTCAAAAGTCCAGTTCTTTTCTCCCTGATACGTAGGATGAGTTATAGTACGTGTTTATCTTCATTTACTGAACCCTTAATTAATAGATTCAAAATGAAACAAAGAGGTTAAATAACAGGCAACATTAAACCCTGGTCACAGAAGTCTACATATAGTTCCTGTTTAGAGGGTTGTAAATTGGGAATTGGCACAAGGGCTTCAGGATGTCACAACCTGAGAAAATGGGTATATACACACGTAAAAGTTCCCCAGGGTCTAGCATCGGGCTGTCCTTAAGATTTCTGTACTTTGCTGCATGTATGGAATACCTCAAAAGATTTTTTAAAAAGGAAATTACAGAGAGATGTAACATAGGAAACCAAGAATTTACAATATGTAAGAAGTTAGAAACAGCACAACAGAAAGTAAGCTCATGAATACGAATGCAAACAGCGCAGCTGAGAAACTTGGTCCCCATCAGAGCTATATTGAATGAGTTAGAACTCTCTGAAGACAAATGGAGGATCTTTGAATCCACTGTTATTGTGAAAAGGGTAAAGAGTACATGAAAATTCTGTCTGAATATTTTCATAGGAATTTTTCTGTGTTAAAGAGGAGTCAAGAGTCAGTCAACTAGAAATTATTCAGCAGATAATTTCCCCATTAATTCTGGATAATTGAAACATTAATGCAAAAAATCAGGCAATTTATATGAAATATAACTTTAAATTACTAAATTTAAGAGCACCAAATATTGAAAACCAATATGGCATCAAGTAATTATAACCAGAAACTATCATTTCTCAAAAAAAAAAAAAAAAAGCAATGTTTTGAAGAACTTACTGGTTGTGTGTGTTACACACACACACACACACACACACACACACACACACACACACACACACCCCTATTCCTCAGTTTATTCACTGTGGCTTTTAAACAACTTATCTAATCTTTCATTTTTCCTGTAAATGGAATTGAACTTATAACATCTCTATCAGTACACTAAATGTTTTATTACTGAAATTACCCTAACACTGTCTTAAAACCTAGAGAGCACAGGGCTGTAGTTTGTTCCGGCTGTTTATAAAAGCAGATGCAGGAAAGGTAAAACAGTAAACACAGCTCTGCCAGCGGCCGCTAGTCCTCAAGCCCCCCGGCCAGGACTGTGGTGGGAAGGGAGTGACCGCCCCGCAGGGCTGGTGAAAGCAAATGCTCAGACTGTGGAACTCAGCTACATGAACTCTCAGAAACCACACAAATACTACAGGGTGAGCGGTGCTCGAAAAGTCACTTTCTAAGTGAAGCCCTTGGCCTTACTGTCTCAACTAGAAAGCCCCAATGTCTTCAATTCAGTCGACATGCAAATCTTTAGTCAAGGGCATTACAAACACAAGTGCAGTTAAAACTTTAAAGTGGACTCGTGTAATAGCTCATTATTTAACCTACCAGAGATGACCAAACACAAATTCAAGGGCCCACCTTTGCTTTATCCTCTGCAGTAAAATATGGCAGAAGCTGCCATTTCCATTCATTTGCAATTTTATAATGTAACCTTTTGGTTTTCAAATGTGCTCTAGACAAGTGTAAAAAAGTGACATTCTTTAATGTCCCCACAGATAATGCTCCTCGCAAACAACCTGGAGGACCTCTCTTGGCCTAGGACGACCATGCATGCAGCCGTGCAAACATGCGTTCATGCAACATAGCAGCACACAACACAGTGAAAATGGCAAAGAAAACCAAGTGATGGCCATGCTAGTAATTTTCAAGGGTCTCCTTACCAAATAGTGAAATCCTATGCCTGACAAGAACTCCAAGTTTGCAGAATAGGCTGAAGACAAAAGAAAAACAAAAGAGAAAGGGGAAAGGGGGAGGGAAGGTAGAAAAGACAGGGAGAATTAAAATAAAAATTTAAAAAAAAGAAAAAAGAAGAAGAAAACAGAAAAATAAACAGCTGGTATATGAGCTGGAAAAAGCAACATGATGTCACGCAGAAAGAATCAATTCTCTGAATAGAATGTGGAGTAAAGGTATTAAAGAAAGAGTCTCTGAGTGCATCTCTTTAACAAACATGGTTAAAAAAGCACGTATTATAAGTAAAGAAACCAAAAAAAAAAATTGAAAGCAAAGCTAATTAATATAAAAGCAATCTATATGAACCGCGCAAGAACATAACTACTGAAGAAAAAAAAAACACAAGAAAAAAATTAATTTTATCTATGCAAATATACCACTGGAATTCTATAATTTCTTTTTTCTTGTTATGGATGTTATTTAACAACAGGAGTATGGTGCTTCGGGAATAAAACGTTACTTTACGTTTTAGTATGTGTCATCATTTGAACTTTTCTTCTTCCCAACCTTGACCTCACCCCTACCACATATACCAAAGCATCCAGTGAATTTGACCATCTTGAGGTACAGGCAGAATTTGAATGATTAATAATCATTCAGAGAGAAATATTACAGGGGCGATAAGTTGGGCTCTTAATGCTAATACATGAGGTATGTTTCTGATCTCCTCTAGAGCAGGATCCTGGGTCTTGTGTCTTGCTGGCGATCAATAATGGGGGATTACAAACACTGGCGTCTTCATTCAGCATGACAGCACTGGTGTGCACTGACTCTCAGACCAGACCCCAGATCCTGAGCAATACCTGCTGTTGTCCTGTCTTGTCACCAGACTGCAGTCTGGTGGGTTCCTTGCAAATCCCTCTTTTCAGGAATAGCCCTCACTCTGTCCATGCTGTTCTCCCTTCCAACCACCCCTTAATATCTTGCACAGGACATGTTTATTCCATGAAGCCTTTTCGAACACCCAGCACTCCTTGGCTACCCCCAAACCAAGCTGAAAAAGGTCCCCTCCCAGGGTCTCCCAGGGGCCATTTGCAAATATCTATCATCACTCCTAACCTCTCATATTACAATTGACATTATTTTCACATCTACCCACACGCTTGGGAACTGTCAGAGAGCACAGGCTCTGCGTAGCCAGAACTCAGCAAAGCTTTATCCTTGAAGGCAATTTGTACAGCAACACCCTCACTCGGCCTGACATCCCCAATCAGGAGAACAGCTATGTCCTGACTGCCCTGGCGTCTCCTGCAAAGCACTCCATTACCAGCAAATGTACACTTGCCAGGACTGGGGACACATACCATGCCGTGGGATAAAATAAAGCAACTGCTGGTTGATAGGATGGGGAAAAGGAGACAGAGAGTCCCGTGTGTGATGCTGACTTCTTCCATTGCAAGTTCTGCCCATCGTATCTCACTTCAGTAACAATGGGGAATACTGGGTGAAAATTAATTACATAGGGCACTGTGTACCTCTTCCAAGAAAACAGTCATCCACAAATATTTAAGTGAAGTTAAGGTCTTGAGAAATCTCTTCGGTGCTAGAAGTTTATAAAACAATGATTTACTCAAGTAGGCAGATTATAATGACATTGGCCCCTGAGCTGTATTATTTGAACAAGAACGACAATATAACAAGGGCAACTTTCTCCAAGCGCCCTCACCCACTGAGCTTTATACACACTAGTTCAGCAAGGACCCGCCTCCATCTAAGGAGAGTGATCACATCTTGGAGTTGTACACACTTTGGATGCCTGTATTCCAATCTATCTTAAGTGCCATCTTTTCTCGCTTGCTAGTGGGGACTCACTAGCATCCAGGGGAAACATTCTGAGATGATGTTGCATTTATAACGCTAGGATTACATTTTACCCCAATTAATCCAGACCGAGGATGCTCTGCTGTGATGCTAAACAGAATCACTCTGTACCCCACTCCACTGGGTTGCAATTAATGTCTGAGAATCTGTCAGAGAAAAATGACTACTTACAGTATCAGCTGCTCCTGACAGTAACAGATGTACCACCAGAGAGAGATACTGATATATAGAAAGCTAGGTCTTCACATTAGATAAATTACATCTCTTTCCCCTCCTGTGTCATCCACTGTCAGGGTGTAAGTTCTGTGCATACTACAAGGTTTGATTCTTTTGAGCTTTGGCCTATAGTTTCTCTACAAATATTTTTGATAATACTGTTATTCCCTTGCTCTATATCCCTCCACTCCTAACACTCTTGAGAATTAATTATGCATTGGCACTTCCTCAGAACTGACTCACTGCCTTATCATCTGCTTTCCATCCCACTGCTCCACAGAACACTCTCCTGAAGCTCTCAGGAACCCAACCAGCAAATCTTTTTCAGCCTCCTTCCTGGAAAGCTCTCGAATGTGTCATCACTATTAAAGCTGTGAAACCCTGGATTCTGTTTACAGCAAGGTTTTCTCCCCTTTTTCTCAAACTAATTATTCTCTGTGTTCTTCAAAGACCCACTTTGCAAACCCCTCCACCTGTCATAATTCTCCAGGGTTTGGTATTCATACCCTTTTGCTTCTCCCTCCACTTTCCTTTAGTTTCATCTACTTTCAGAGCTTTGAGCATTACATGGGTAAAGGTAATCCCCAAATATATCATTTCTTGCCCTGTTGTCTCCAATACCAGACACGTATTCCCAACTTTCTGCTGGATCTTTCCAGCCAAATGACCTGTTAGTACTTATGCGTCAATAAATGCCGAACCCAATTCAACCTCTTCTTTTCAAAACAAGTTCTGAAAGTGCTTGGTTTTGCTGGTGACACCAGTGTCGTTCCAACTGCTCAGCACTGAAGCTTCAACTCCGCGCTGGCTCCTGTCAATCTGCCATGTGACTCACTGCCATGTCCTGGGGCCCTTCTCTCTTGCATGGCCCCCACATCCAGGCCCGCTGCACATGGCACACCCTCTGTATCCCTGGCACTTTAATCTGTCTCCACTTAACACGCACCACCACTGATTATCTGGTGAACTCCACACGGATGTGTCACCCAGCTGTACTTCTGTGAATGTTAGGGACCGTGTGGCTACACGTTCCTCACTTAGGACAGTGTTCTGTGCATAACAGGCACTCAGAAGAATGTGCAGAATGGGCTGTGGGGAGCACCCCTTATTTGGGGGAGCACTTCTGTTACCACAGCCTGACACGGCCTCCCTGCAGCCCACTGCTGTCTCGCTCACTGCTCCTGCCAGACTGTCATTCTCCTACGGAAAAGTCTCACTGGCATCCTAGTACTAATTAATTAGGTAATATATATATATGAAATTAAAAAGATGGAAGAAAGGAGATCCCTTATTCTAGCTGTTCATATCAATGACCAATAGTCCACAGTGAAACTCCATAACCTGCATTCCCCCTAAATTCCCAGAATTGTGATGCTGTTCTGATTTATTCTGTGAGGAATACAGTCAGTGATGGAAAACGAGTCACTGGTGGTCAGTGAATAGTTCCTAGAGTAAGACTGAAAATTAAATGGAGACAACAATACACAATACGGGCAGGGGCGGGGGGAAGAAGAACGTGGCTAATTGTATTTTTCCTATGTTCTCTGATTATATGTTCTGTTGATTTTATGTGACTGAGTGACATCTAAATGACCAACACCCTCTGGGAACAAAGTTTCTGTTACAAAGCTTCTAAACTGGACACAGGGAGGACGAGGAGACTCTGCCCTGGTGTCACTGCGTTCATGGGGACTTGGTGGTTCTGCGTTTTCTAGCCTTACATGCACTCACCGTCCACAGCGGGGCGCTGGGCCATGGCAGTCAGGAGGGGTGCCCCTCCCTCTGCTGGGGAGGCCTGAAGGAAGGCCAAGCATGGGGTGGGGGAAGAAAGGGGTGCAGACCTTGGAAAGCAGCCCCACCTGACCTTTTTTGGGGGTAACACAGTTTGCGGAAACAAAGCATGTCACTTGGATGGATTCCCATTATTTCAACTACAATCAGTTTTATCAGTTTCATCGGAAGATTATTATTTGAAGTTTGGGGACATTTTTAATGCTGTTGAAATTCTACATCACACCATTGTCTACTTACGAGTTAGTAAAATAGACAATATATTTGAGTAAAGACATAAGCTTAGAATTTCATTCAAGTCCCTATTCCCAGTGTTATGCAATGCAGAAATCTTATTTCTTTACCCTCAGGTGAGTCTGTATTCAGTCTCGTCTCACTCCATCCAATAGGTTGACACTGCATTCAGCATATCATTATTGTCAAGTTCAAGGGAATCCTGTATGTACTTTATATAGGCTACCCCCTTTTACAGAAAATTTTCAGATACCGTCTAAAAGCGTGGCATGGACTCCTGCACAGCATAATAACATAGAAGAAGGCTTGCTTGGTAATCGATTGTCATGCAATATAGTAAGTTCTGGCAGAATTTGGAGGACTCAGACTTGCAATCTCCAGAATAATCAGAAATAAATCTATGAAGAATATTTAGATTGAAACAAAAATGAGAGAGCGTTGCTGATGCGCCAGCTTGAGTGGGGTGAGGGGTAATCTTCAGAAAGGATATATTTCTACTTCACATTCTTCCAAGAGTAGACATAATTATTTTTTTAATATTTAAAGTTATAATTTCTGTAAATGGGATTTTGCCCTCCTGCAAAAATTAGGGCTGGCAAAAATATTACCGTTAAAGGAATTTTAATGAAACTAAAATCAAAAGCACCATTTATCAAATATCCTAATACAGTGATCCAGCTTCTACCTGTGAATTCTGTATTGGGTATTTTATTCCTTCTACACTCAGCAAGTACGAACTGCAGAAAAAATCCTCTTCACAGTGTTTGATTCCAAGAGGACAGGCCAGGGCAGATGGGTGGGCACTCTGGCCACCCCGTCCCCCACCCTCCAAGGTCCTGGGTGCTCTTTCTCAAATGCAAACACACTCAAACATCAGTCTTTATTTTAGAGCTCGTTACCTCGTCACCATTTCTTTCTCTTTGTTTGATGCATGTCCTCCAGAACACAGAGGTCTGCTCGCTGCAGATAAGAAGTATAAACGATGGTTTTTGAAATACTGATCAATTAAAGGAAGAACGACCTGAAAGAAAGGAAAAGAAGACAGATCTACACGGTGGGGTCTCTGGGGGATGACTGAGTGCTAAGCCTTCCAAGCATGTGACAGACAGGTCCCCAATATCCACGGCCATGCCAGTCGGCACCGTTTCAGAGTGTGACTCCCTTATACCTCATTCTGCTAACTGCAGTCCATGTGTGTGTGTGTGTGTGTGTGTGTGTGTGTGTGTGTGTGTGTAATTATGGAAACACACTAAATTTTCAGCAGTTTGGAATTATTTTCAATATTTTTTCAAAATAAAATAATTCTTCATTATTTCATAGAGTGCAGTTCAGTGCCCAATAGGTCCAAAAATAATCAATGATGACCACTTATTGAGTCTCTACTGTGTGTGAGGATTGCAACTGGCATCCTGTCATTTAATTTATCCTGTAACTACTTTGTATGGTAGGTGCCATCATCCCTTCTCTGTAGGAATTAAACGCAGGCGTAGAAAGGGATTTACTCCAAGTTGCATTGTCACTTTCCCACCTCCACCGTGTTCTTCTTATCTTCTTACCTGGCATCCCTCAAAGCCCACCTCCCATTTCTGTTCCCTGGTCCTGCTGGCCCTCGGTGAATTCCTCTCTTCCCTGCCCATTCTCACCACAAGGCTTCGCATGTGCCATTCCCTGTGTCTGAAATGCTCTTCCCACACACACTCCATAACCGATTCACTCCCTTCTGCAGGCTGCAGTTCATGGCTCTTCATCAGATAAGCCTTTGCTGACTGCTCAATTTGACTAAATCCCCACATTCTCTGCTCTTATAACAATGTCATTTGCAATTTCACATTCCATATGTGTGATTTGGGTTTAGTCTGTCTCCCTAAGAATCTCTAAGGTACCCAAGAACAAGAAACATTTCTGAGCTTGCTCCCATGACGGCCCCTCCTGGCCACTGACACCGCTGCCTTCACTCTGTTTTGTTTACCATGAAATGCCAGGGCTGAGGGGTTTTGTTGGACTTACAGCAAGCACTAGATAAATATTTGTTGAATAAATGAATGAAAAAAGTAAGGATAATTGGCATTACCAGTACTTAGACTCAAGTCCATCTAACTACATTTTTTCCTACAATGTGGTATAGTATATTAGCATATTATAGGAATATGCAAGTTTTGGTTATCTTCCTAGAAAATTGTGGCATTGCCTGAATTTAGTGATTGGCACATAGTAGGTACTCAATTAAAATATGAATGAATGAATGAATCATAAATTTAGTAGAAATTAAGGTACATTAGGCATCTCTAAACAAAATCACAAGGGTGCTGAGTACGTAGGCAATGCAGTGCAGAATATATTTTTAAACGTATGATTAGAGGCCATGAACATGGCATTACTGACAACTGGCTATCAAAGGGGCTCAGCCTAGTAAGATGGATAAGTACAATGGTCAGCTCAGAATAAACTTCAGATGCTTGATAAAGACTTTGAGTGCTATGCTGAGTGGGAAATAAAAGACCAGTGAAATCTTCCTTACAGTAAAGGGCAGAATTCTGAAAACATATAATAGAAGCCAAATATTCATCCATCAAAACCACATTCCATTTTGCAAATGATCTATAATAACCACCAAACGCAAGTACTTTGAAAGGAAACTGACAGAAATCGTGAGGTCTCTAGGTTAACTGAAACATTTGTTCACAGAAGAGCAGCCGAAGGGCGTTCCGTGCCCAGGACAGGGACCCCACAGGACACCGTCTAATGCCTGACACACTAGGCACAGTGTGAACACTGAGTAAGTGAATGGACCAACATGGAGATTCTGCAGCTACCTCTGTCTCCTTCCCTTATTGGTTGAGAGGAAGTTATGAATGCTCTAAGCAGACAGCAAATTCTTGATAAATTCTTTTAAATGAAATGAGTCAC